AAAGGCAAGAATATCGTTGGATATGTGTTGGGATTGGTGTACATGATGCAGAAGAAAGGCATATGATTGGGAACGTTGCACCCACTGGAGGGCGGCTTATGATTTTTTCGATAAAAAAAATCCCAGCTGTCCAAGTAAGCTTTTAGTTATCTTTATAATATATATATATTTAATTTATAAAATTAATAGTTTGATTTAATAAAGGGTACTGGATTTAAATATGAATTATGGAAAATCAATCAGATTGATGTTAATGGAATTGTTCATGCAATATGCCCATTGAGTGAGACGTATATAGCCCTTCAATGATTCTTTTCCGGTATATGAGATCTTGAACATTGCTTATTAATTTTATTATGATCGATAGCTATATTCTTATTGGGGCTGGAAAAACTTTGAACCTGTTACGTCATTACGTTGAAGAAAAAAAGTATAGTATATATATATATATTTGATGCAGTAAAATTTTTGTTTCATTTGTTTATAACATTTGCGGTTCTATTAGATTAAGGAAGGTTCATAGCAAGGAACTTCGGTGGCCCATTTTGTCAATAAACGCATATGGGACACGGATATGCGTTGGCACGCAAAAAGGATCACTCTCATTTTATGATTTCAATCCTGAGAAAGAACAATTTACTTTCTTAAAAACGTAAATGCATTTGATTTTACTTGATATCGTCGCGGTTGAACCTGGAAACTGCTGAAGCAGGAAGTTTTAAAAATTTTGAGTGCATTTTTTAGCTTTTTTTTTTTTGTTAGGATTTAGGGCTAGTTTTGACAATAAGAAAATAAGTGGAATTTGGTAGTGTTCATATTTTTAAGTCGAGATCCCTAATTTCCAACATCAACCGTTTCCAGCTTCAGCTGCATTAGATATTCGTTTTTATGTCATGGCATTAACTCATTTTATAAATTTTAATGTAGAGAAAGACTAACACGTTTAATTTCTGATTCAATTATGTTAAACGAAAATTTGGCAGTTGGTACTGACAAATGTGGAAATATATTCGGTTTATTATATAATAAAGGTATTAATTTTCAAAGTCATGTCAAACTCTGAGCTTAAATGTCTAAAGAATTATTATTGATTCTACAGACGATCCAAGTATTGAACCATGTTTGGAACCAGTTTTTTCATTTCATGAAGCTGAAATTGTTTCACGATTACGTGTTGGATATCTTGGTTATCGAACAGAAACAATGAATAAGCTCGCAGAAACATCGTCGGACCACAATTCTGAAGTCAAAGAAGTGCTTGACGATTTGGGATGGGACATGAACTATGATCTTACGCATCCAGGTGCAACAATTATTGGCTGTTCTCTTATTGGAAGTGTGCTTCTTTTCATGCGGATCAGTATAAAATCTTACCGACTCTTATCCGTTCTGCAATCTATTCTTGAGAAATGGCCGTCAACACGTCCATGTTTGGGTAAGTTTCTCTAAAGGTGTTAATGGGTTTACCGAAATTTTTTATTAATTGTTATTTTATTCAGGTAATAATAATATAAGATTTAGATCAGATAGTAATCATACCAGCTCTATCAACGTTATTATTGATGGCGATATGGTGTCTCAATTTTTACGTTTGTCTCGACATGAACAGCTTAAAATTATTGAGCACAACCCGGAATTAATTAAGGCTGGATCAACTTTTATTCTTGGGGATAAATTTGAGTCGTATGAATATGAGAAACAAATTAGAGATACTTTAGAATATCATGAGGATATGGATGATCAACCCATGACTCCAGAGAATGAAGATGACGATATATATATGGAGGACGAGCATGATTCTGATGATTCTTTAGAGATGATCGGAGAAACGAAATTTTATAGAGACAATGTTAGACCGGTCTCTGTAGAAGAAATAGCGGAGGCCTTGCAACTTGTATTGTTAGAATTAAATATGCATGTTTCATGATACCGATACATCAAAATATTATTTTAATTGCATTAAAATTATAAATTTTGTATTTTTTTTTTTTTTTAGCATAAAAAAATTAAATTCAAACTGCTTCAATGATTATTTAGTTCTGCAATATAATTTATTTATTTTTATTTTTAATGAAATAAATCTATAGCTATAAACTCTTTAATTCTTTTAATGTTTCTTTTAATTTATCATGCATTTCCGTTCCTTCAAAATTCCTTGTCTTGCCTATTAAACTTGTTAATAAACTTTTGGCTTGATATTTCCAATCTTTACATACTACTGCAGCCGATATTTCCGTTTTTGAGTCTTCTGATGACACTTCTTTGTCGTTATGACTAATTTTTAAATCACCAAGGTTTTGGTAGGCCTCTACAACTTCTAATGCTGTAGTTGCGACTTGTTTAAATATATCTTCCGAAGTTTCTAGTCTTGGATTATGTAAAATACACCGATATGCTTTCAAATGAGACTCGAGGGCTTTTTCGTATTCTTTTTTCCAAAACCAAAATTGTGCGCAAAGTCGCCATATTTGTGGGTGTGACGTCATTCGCGAAGTAATAGTTACTGTCAATAAATGTTCGAGTCGTGGCGCTAATTTAGACGCGCTGTTTTTATTAGCATCTTGAATTCCTTGAGTAACAGCATTTACAAGAATCTCGAGAACATCCAAGTCAATACATGATTCTTTTTCCTTTTCCCATCTCAAATCCACTACGCGTTGCATGGCGCGAATTGTTTCGGCAAATTCTCCTATATCAACGGCTGTATACATGTAATTTGTCCAAATTCTCCAGCTATCATATTTTTGTTTTAAACCTTGTTGAAAAGCGTTAAACGCATCTGACTTGCGGCCTTGTTTAAGGAAAACTGATGCAAGATTGTTCCATGCTTCAGAGTTTTCAGGATCAAGAGAAATCGTTCTAAAAAAAGCTTGCTGTGCAACATCCCACTCTTCCACATGCATTGCTGCACAACCTTTAACAAACCAAGCTTTTTCAAAGATTGGATTTACATTGAGAGCTTTTGCATAACATTCAATTGATTTCCGATATTCCTTTTGTTTAAACCAGTATGCACCGAGAGATCTCATAGCACGTCCATAATGATTACCTGATATGTTCCATGCATGCTCCCAGCGTTCTGGATTCTTTTCAACATCACCTAAAAGGCAATAAAGTTTTGGAGAATTTGGCGTAACATTCAGGCGTTCAAGAATAATCTCTTTAGCTTTAAACTCTTTTTCAAGTATTATATAGCAGTTTATAATGTCTTCCCACATTTCAAGGCGTTCAAATATCTGTAAGGCAGATCGAACTACCCCCAAAGATAAGTATTGCAAGGCAAGTTCTTTTTCCATTTCCCATTTCGATGGCAAAAGAATCTGATAAAAGTAATCCAAACGTTCTTTTGCGCTAGATAATTCTAAGGGAAATTGATCAACGAGCGCTTGAAGTTGAAGAACTGATCGTTCTACGGTCCGCGACTTTTCTTTTTCAAGGCGTGATCTGAGCAGAAGTGCCATTGTATAGACCATCCAGTTGTTTGGATTTTCAAGTACTCTTGATACAAAAGGTACCATTTGTTCGGTGGTTATGCCATGCGATGGGTTCGTATTTTTTACATTCAAACAAAAAGCGAGCAGCAAACATTGATCAATTATTTTGAGATTGCTTTTTGGATTTAATTCACTGCTATCATCTGTTGTTTCTGAAACTTCAATTTTCTCTAAAAGTGTGTCATCGTCAAGTGATATAGCGTTTGGAACATTTTTTATTACTGAATCTTCTGAATCATTCTCTTTTTTAAATTTTACATCATTTTGACTGTTTGCAATAATTAATAATTGAGATACGTCAAAAGTTTGAAATTTTGTCCGTTTTCCTAACATTCCTGTAAGTGTCCATTTAAAACCACTTAATTCTTGAGCTTTTACAAAGTGTTCTTTGGCTAAGGAATCATGCCCATAGTAATGATTTATAATTCCGTATTCTAAATAAAACCGAGCGTATATTTCGGTTGTCTTTTCTTCTGGAATTAAACTCGGAAGTGCATCGTTTAAAGATTGCAGATACTGGAATATCGTGTCATGCAATGATCCACTAACATTATCAAGAATACGCTGTTGTATGAACAAAACTCTCTGACCCCACCAACTGATGCTCTTTAGATGAGTAAATAAAAATGCATTTTCAACCAATATAATTCTCGGGATCAACAAATATAAAGCGCGAGGCGTCAGATGATAAACGTCTTCTCCATCAACTGATAAAATTTCATGAATTTTCTTATTAAATTCGGTGACATTGAGCTGTTCTTTTATAACTGCAGGAAGGATATCTTGAGGTTCTAGATCAAAAACTGGACCAGTCCAACAAGTTTGTACAAAAGCATTTAAGGAAGCCACTGCAACACTCAGTAAATGTAGCTGCTTGATGATTTGTTGTTTCTTAATTAGTTCTTGAGAAGAATTGGGATCAAATGAAAGATACCTTTTTATTCTAGTAGAAATATACGAACTAATATGTAATGTTTCCACAAAGGCTTTTATATCTTGATCGTCGTTAGGCAATTCTATTCCAAGAATTTCTCGCGCAATCTTGCAGGTTAAGCTTTGTTTGTACTGACTGTTAATAACTGTTGATGCCAAATCAGTATCAAACGCGTCTTGTTCAAGCTTCACGGAAACATCCTGTACAGGAATATTCAATATCAGGGCCCATTCGAATTTGTTAACAGCTTCTATGAAATTTTCCATTAATAATTGCTGCGACAGGAACATAAAAGAATAAATTTGGTACGTGTATAGGGAGTTCATCATGTGAGCGCCGATTTTAGATATATCGATAATACTCATGCAATAAAATCATAATACCTGTCATGCTTTGCCACCTAAGTTATTTGACAGACTGCTTTTCTTTCCCTCCTTATATTTCGAACACTTGATAACCTCTTGCTTAAACATCGAAGACATGACCACAGGTAGTCTTTCTTTACTTATCACAAGGTTATATATTTTCGAAAGATTTTGTGATGAATATCGTTCGGTTAAATAATAGTATGATTATTCTACAAAAAAAGAAACAAATCAAGACTATTAAATTTGTTCATTCCTGATTGTGGATTTTTAAGCATTATAAACTTGCTTTTTAATACTTTCGATTGAATTTTCTTTTGAATTGCATAGTTCCACGCAACTTCAGATTACTTGAAGAATTGGAAAAGGGTGAAAAGGGTATTGGTGATGGTACATGCAGCTATGGCCTTTCAAACAGCGATGATATATATATGAGTGATTGGAATGGCACTATTATAGGGCCTGGCCACGTAAGCTATCAGAAAACAGTATTTAATCATAACATTTTAATCACTAGAGGTAGTGACACCATACTTTGATTTCCTTCATATAGACCATTCATGAAAATCGCATTTATAGCTTGAAACTTCATTGTGATGAGAATTACCCCGATTCTCCACCAACAGTGCATTTCATTTCTCGAATCAATTTACCTTGTGTTAATCAACAAACGGGCAAGGTAATTTGTTTGGAGAACGCTTTTTATCTATTTTTATTTGTTATCTATTTTTATACTCATATTAAACTTTTGTTTAGGTTGAAGCCGCTAAACTGAGCTGCCTGGCTAATTGGAAAAGAAGTTATACACTTGAAACCGTATTAACAGAATTACGTCGGTAGGTATTCAAGCTTAAATTTTGATACTATTCGCACTTGTTCTTATAGAAACTACAATTTGAAATAGCGAGATGTCAAACCCACATAATAAGAAATTACATCAACCTCCGGAAGGTTCTTTCTTCTGATTTAGAGTTTAGAACCGGGTTATAGTAAACTGGGCCACCCGTGTCAAAACGATTCAACCGGGTCAAAATTTTACAACTCGGGTCAAAACGGTTGAATATGTAACCACTAAAAATCTGTTACTTTTACACAGAAAACATCACAAAATCTAACACATTATTATTGTATTGTGAATAAACACACTTTTTCTCTTACTAATGTTCAATCCGCTAATCTGGGTTAAAAAAGTTACAAACTTTTGGAGGCTACTATACGAACTATCTACTGTTGCGAAAATTTTTAACAAAATTTTCCTTTGTATAAAAGTTCTTTGCTTTGCTAATACGAAATACACTATTCGACACGTTCGACAGTACCTGGGAATTCGTAGCGCTAGGTTGATCCAAATCGTTAATCGATTGGAAAAATTTTAGCCAACTAATCTATCTACATAATAAATTGACAGGTGAAATCCGCGTCGCTAGCTAGTAAAATCCGCGCTGATTGGCTATATCAGGTGAAACCTGAGATGGCAATGTAAAATTCGTGTTGATTACTTAAAATCCACGTTAGTTATTTAAAAATATGTAAAAACCATAAAAACCCAATATCGATATACCGATACTTTTAAATATGTAAAGCCCGCTTTTAGATATGAAATCCTATATGGCAATCTTGACTTTGAGTGAAGATATCTCAGTATCTACCTGATCAAATTCGATAAAATTTTTTTTATTTGAATTCTATGGAATCATGGAATTTAAATTTTCGTCGAATTTAATTAGGTAGTTGCTGAGATATCTTTTTAGAAAAAAATAAAAACATCTATCAAAATAGAGGCTGCGACAAATTTTCCTAAAATTTTGATCAAGATATCTCAGCAACCACCTGATCAAATTTTTTATTTGAATTCTATAGATCTATAAAAAATTTTCATTAAATTTGATCAGGTGGTTACTAAGTTACCTTTGCTCAAAGGTTTTAAAAAAATCAAAGCGTCTATAGCGTCTATTAAAATAGGATAGATTAGTGGAGCAACCAAAATTCAGCAGATCGACCAAAATTTAGGGTCGGAATAGATAAATTTCTCCCCAAATCACCCAAAATTTTACTAATGAAATGGTAGCCCACGTACTAAGCTGCCCAGATGATAATTTTGCTGTAATATAGTTGTCTTGTATTATTACTTAATGCCGGCCTAGCCCCGAGCCTATTACGACCCTAAATTTTGGTCGGTCTGCAGAATTTTGGTTTTTCACTAACCTATCCATTAAAATAGAAGCTGCGCCAAATTTTTTTTAAACTTAAAAATTTTTTTATTTAAATTCTATTATTTCATAGAATTTAAATAAAAAAATTTCATTAAATCTGATCTGAGATATTTTCACTCAAAGTTGAGATCATCATATATCTAAAAGCAGGTTTAAAAGCAGATTTTACATATTTAAAAGCAGGTTTTATATATGGAAACACCCATACAGTAGCAAAAGGGTGCAATGGGTTGAAAATTATAAATTTGTAATTTTATAAAAATTGGAAGGTGATTGTTCTTCAAAAAATTCTGAAATTGAGTTTAAAAAATAAAAATTTTTTGGCCCATTGCATCCTTTCGCTGTGGGAGTTCATATTTTAAATAACCAACACAAATTTTACATTGCTATTTTAGGTTTACCTGATATAGTCAATCAGCACAGGTTTTACTAGCTAGCAACACAGTTTTCAGGAAATTTTTTAAGCTGATAGATTATGATTATTAACAATTAATTGATTATTATCAATTAAATTTAATTGATAAGAACTGATAGTGGTGATTGTAATCATCAGATATCCTTATTGATTTTAATTGATAAAGTTACTAATCATTAATTTACTATAAATGATTATTATCTATTAATTCTTTATTGATAATTATCAATAAAAAATTAATTAATAATAATCATTTATCTCTTAATCTGTAGGTTTTTTCAGACAAATTTGCCTGAAAAATTTTTATAAATATATTTATGATTTATATTTTTTAATTTTTAAAATATTTAAATAAATATTTTTTTAATAATATTTGAAAATAAGGATTATATTATAATAATATTTAATTTTATTTTATAAGAAAAAAATTTTAAGTTGTTTTTAAGATAAAAATAGACCAATTTAAAAAAAAATTTTTAATCAAAAAAATTATCTAATTATTCATAGCAAACTATTTAAATATTAATTTTAAAGTTATAGTTCTTAATACAAAACTATAGCTTATATAAAGGATGACAATTGCTATTATTATAGTTAGGGATTTTATCAAAAATAGAAATCAATTCTGGAATGTTCTCTTGAGCGATGATTGGCTTACAATCATGTTTTTGGACTGAAGTTTTTTTGTCTTTTTATAATACTTAATTGTAATTGATACTTTATACATGAAGAATAAAGAACCTATAGTTTTAGGATCAATAAATAATCAGTTGGGATTAACTCTTTATAGCAAAATAGATGAGACCTAAAAAAATTTTAAAGTTTTGTCAAGGTTTGTTGATATTTTACGCTTCTTTCTTTTTTTTCTTGAATAACCATTAAACATTTTCACAATGTTATAAAGCTTTTTATATTTTGCATATATAAGTGCTATGTACTGTAGCTTTGTAAACTTTCTATATATATTAAAATTAGTTTAATCAACTTCGAATATAAAGTTATGATTAAGCTAATTAAGTTTTGGTTTTTTTTTTGCTTTTAATTTAATTTATTTTTAATATTTTAAGTTTTTTTTTATTTTCTATAGATATAAAATTGTGGCAATAAGATTTAGATGCATTTAACGATTGTATAATAGATATAATTTTATTTAATTTAATCAAATATTATTGAAGAGTATAGATAAAGTAATAGGGTTGTGATATCTTATGTTTGATCGATCAGAATCGAACAATTCTTATGCCATTTGATTTGTCTGATCAAAACGAATCAAATGGTATAAAAATTATCTAATTCTAATTACTTGTTGACAAAATATCTTCATATTTGATATTTGTAAGAAATACCTGTGACAGGATTTCTATAATAAATAAATTTATTAAATTTATTAAGTAAAGTTGTTCATGGTGCAAAATTATATATAATCCTAGATTTTGGTGAAAATTTTACAACTTTTTTATTAATAAATTTTGAGCTATACGTTACTATGTTTTTTTGTTTTAAAAGCCATTATTTGATTGGCTAATAACATGTGATTTTCGTAAAACTGAAATGTTGAGAATCATCTAATCGACATTTTTATACTATAAAAGATACGATTGATACTGTCTATTTTTGGTAAAATCCCTGACTGTATTACAACTTTTGTAACTTAATTATAAAAATTTGGACTTGTATTAAAAGCAAAAATTTTTTTTTTATCTTCAGAAATATATAAAATCTTAAAAAATCTTGAAAATTTTTAATAATAAAAATTTTTAAATAAAAACTTTAAAATTTTATTACTCCAAGGTTTATTAATAAATTTAAAAAATTTTTATAATAAAGTTTATAAAATATGTTTTTAAGAATATATTCTATAATAAATATATATTCATATTATTAATAAATTATTATTTTATTTAAAAAATACTAAATATAATTTAATTTTCCAGGCAAATTTTTCTGGAATACAGTTTAAGAGAAGTAAATTAATGATTAATAATATTATTAATTAAAATCAATAAGGATATCTGACAATTATAATCACCATTATCATTAGAATTTCAACAACTCTTTTCGCTGATCATCAAAACACAGATTTTCTGAAACACAAAATTAATAAAAACTATAAAAGACTCAAAAAGCTACTGAGAAATAAATCTCAGAGCTTTAAGAAAAGAAGAACAGGACTACAAGAAACACTCAGTCTCTTAGAAGACTTGAGTAAAAGGAACCGCTAAAGCCTTAATCGAATATATGTTATATCCAAAGGAAGAAAAATTTAA